TGAAGTTGCATGAATCCCGACCCAGGATTGAACAATCCTTGACTGAGCGGCCTGGGATGATAGAACTGATGATATCCCGGGACTACGCAATCCTAGATATATGCAATTTCAGATTTTTTTCCCCTAATATTATCTTGCATTTATTCGGTTTATCGTGGATCTAGGTTTCTTTCTTTAATTATCCCTAATTATCTCGTAACGTAACTAGAATAGCATCGATAATTGAAATATATCTTCGAAGAATTCGATTCCCCATCTTCACACGTTGTACTAAAAAAAATTATCTCACAATGATGATCTTTTTCCCCAAGTTTTTGTCTGGTTAGTATTTTTGAAACTTCTCATAGTGGCTAGATTTTGGTTTGTTTCTCTGCCCTCCTTGTTTTGTCACCGTGTTTTTTTTAATCTTTTTTTCGTGGTTTCTTTTGGGTAGCCAATGTCGGACGTTTTATGAGTTTTGTTTTTTTTAGATAACTATCGGTAAAAGTTTTCTTCTTTCATATTAATTCTTCAGATTTTTTCTATATTAGATTTACCTCATTCAAATTAAGAAGTTGAGATTTCTTCCTATTAGATTCAAATTAAAAAGAAATCATGAGTTTTTAAGACATTGGTGGAGAATTTTACTTTTTGAAAAACATTGATATTTTGGTAATTTCATAATGGTACAGAATGAAATGGAGTAAAAAAATAAGCTACGAAGAGGTGACAGATAAGTATTTTTAGAAAATAGGTAAAAAATTCAAATAAAATTATGAAAAGTGTAAAGAGCAAGAAGCATAAGAAAATAAAAAGCAATAACTTTTCCCCCACCTCTCTCTCGTTACAACAATACTTATTATGGTTTCATCTTGGATTAAGTACATAATAAGTAGGCCACAATTTAGAGTACCTACTTACAAAAATGAGTTAAAAGTCTCGAGAATTTTCACTTTTGTCTAAAATGAACATGTTTAGGAAGATAATGTGTTTTGAGCTATTTTAGAAACTTATTTGTTTAAAATTTTCTAATTTTACATTTTAGATTTTTGCCTCTAAGATTTTATTGTAATTTTGATTTTACCTTTATTTATTATACTTACGTTTATTATAGTTATTTGTTTTTTTAAATATAAAAGATTTAATTCCATAAATTATCATCACAATCCTTCTTCAATTCAATTCACTCCTGGTGCTCAACCTTCAACGACAATTCAAAATCACAGAAACATCTTTTGAAGTCTCGATAAATATACATGCGCATATTCAAAAAAATCTATTCAAAATCATCGTATATATCAACTTATATATCCGCATATATACATTCAAAATCACTATATATATCCGCATATCTGCATATATACAAGCTGAGTTATAAGATATATCCACTTATATATCTGCATATATACATTCAAAATCACTATAGTATATATCCGCATTCCGCATATACAAGTTAAGTTATAAGATATATCATAATCAAACTCACTATAATATATATCTTCATATATACAATAGTTCACACGAAATCAAAAATAAAAAAATAACCGTTGGAATGCAAACCTTTCGATCGGGATAAACAAATACGAAATGCTCTGGTGATGGAGAAAAACGGAGGCGACCGAAGATGAAGGCAGGCATACATCGACCGGAGACGAAAGCAGGCAGAAATGACTGGAGAATAAGACCGACAGAAATCTCATTTCGAAGGGGATAAACGCAGACGAAATGCTCTTGCGACAAAGAAAAGCGGAGCCGGCCGAAGAGGAAGACAGACAACGATGAAGGGTTGGAGAAGAGGAACGGAGGGTCGGAGGAAGAAAAGAAAAATGAGGAAGAAGAAAGGGGTGAGTTTCAAAAATGAGGTTTTGAGATTTTTTTTTTAATTTTGGAAATATCATTAGCACGGATTTGACCTCCCAATTTACTAATTTTAGATTTTAATAATTATTTAATATTGAGATGGATCTTAGGACACCATCTAATTAGAGATTGTTAAATTCTATACTTTTTCATCTTTTTACGGAATTATGATTTCTAAATAGGCTATCCATACTAATCTCTAGAAAATTTGGGGTTTTTTTTTGGTATCTGGAAGTTTCTTGTCGCATCCACACATCCAACAAAAAAGATGCATTTCGTTCAATTTCAGAGGCCATCAATATTAGCTTTCGATAGATAGGTTCGGTTTTTACACATATGTTATAATAAATTTGTTAGAATATAGATATATGTAACATATACCATTACATAATTATTGGTATATATTATATAACTTTTTTATTTTATTATTATTTTTTGAACGTAACATATGGGGTGGGAACCGGTGGGAAAATCTAAGAAAAGTGTATATATATATATATATATATATATTAATTTAACATTGGTTCGGGTCGGCTTGACCCGACTTTTTTATAGTCAAATCCACGAACCAAATAGTTCTACTCGGTTCGGAAAAATAATGACCCAACTCTTATAGTTTGGGTCGGATTACTCGGATTCTTCGGATGGTTAATTTTTTTGAACACCCCTAATTATCGCTCCAATGGTTGAAAGGGCAAATCATGCTTTCAAATTAAGCAATTTAACAAACACATTTATTCGGACTGCAGCTGGAACCTGCAATCGTATCCGTATTCAAAATGGGAGGCATTGGTTCAACTAGGGAGACTGTAGCTCACCTATTTTCTCTTCTATTTTATGTTATTCTTCATCTCTCTTTTTTGTAATATTACTCTCTTTATCTTTAATTTTCTAAATTATTCTTTATAAATACTTTTTCATGTTTTCCTACTATTATTATTTTTTTTATCAAGATTAAATTTGTAAATATTTTATGACATGATGACAATTTTTGAGATAATATTAAATCTTTATTTGTTTAAATATTATAATTTGTTTGTTACTAGGAAGTTGATATATTTTCTAATATTTCTATTAAGATTTCATATGATATGAAATGAAAATCTAACGAGATAAAAAAAAATTTCTATTAAGGTCTTGAAATTTAATTTTGTAAACATATTATTTTTACTTTAAAAAATTTATAGTTTATGAAGATAACAGGATGAATAAGGGAGAAGACGAATATTCACAGTAATCCGAATGAGATTTAAAAACAAAAGAGCTGTTGATACAGAAAAGAGCAAATTAAAGAGAGAGAGAAAAAAAAAGAGATAAATGAGCTAGAATTTAAAGGAGAGAGCCAAGAAGTAACTAGAGAGTGAGAAAAAAAAATCAAGAAATGGAAGGAAAAAAAAGCGAAAGAACGTGCAAAATAGAATATTTTTTTAGAGAATTTTCATCTTTTCTCTTCTCTCTCTTTTCCATCGGTGGAATAATTATGTTGATGTTGTTTTCCCACTGAACTCACAGTGGATCATGAGCCGACATGGATGAATAGTCGAGGTACTCACGAGCTAATTACCTGCACAAGGAACAAACACTTCGACGTTCAAGTTAATTGCGAGTTCAAAATATTTACGTCGTTTAGGAAATAGCGTACCTGAATAATGGACTGGAGTGCCCCTCTTATAGGCAGACGGGGGAGACAAAGCCGTTAGGGCTGTTACGACCGACGGTTATGGCTATCGAGCCCTCAGGTCGTCGGATTCCTTAGTTCGGCATGTGTATTTCCCTTCATCTCAACTCGGCATGGATCACATCGACATGTACTAGATCCGCTTCGAAATATGGTTACTTCGAACCGAGTTCGTGTTTACACGTGTCGAGTCTGATTTTGACCACCAACAAATTATATCTTCTTTTAACTTATATTGAAGTTAATAATTTTTAAATCAATATAATTAAGAAAGTGTTTACTCTGTAATAAAATGTAATTATC